TGCTGTCAAGCTATAGAATATGAATATTTGTATGAGTATGTATAATATATTTATAAGTAGACTGAATATATAATAAATTCTTGAATAATAACTTAGTCACTATATCGCTTGCGGCGAGTTAAGGACTGAGAATTGAGTTTTTCTATAGCCAGCCTTTGGATGGCAATAGACAACGATATTTTGTTTGGAATATTAAAGCTATTAAAAATATGCTAGGCCAGTTACTTATGTTAACTTTTCGTTTCTTTTCTTTCTAGAAATTGATTTATTATTAAATTTGGCATCATTTAATCAATGAATATTAGAAGTACGAGGCAAGCAATCATAAAACAATGTCATCGTTGATTTCTCTCATTGCCCATTACTCATTACTCAATACCCTACTGGATTAGGGCCAGGCTCAGACTAGAAATGAGAGAAAAACGAGTTATTCTTCCCTGTTTATTTTTATTATATTATATATTTCTCTGACATCTGCTATATGACAATTAAGAACTTAACACGTTTTCATCGGAACTGAAATGCTATGCTCCTAAGACTCTGTCTGAACAGTCCTTGCAATTTTCTTAAGGCAAAGCATGCCATGAATAACTTATCGTCGAATTCCTATGATAGCAACTTCTTACTCCTTGTTTTTATATGGAATGATTTTCCCCCTTAAGAATATTTCAGGACACTAATTGAAATCCAGTTTACTATGACCTAACCGTATACACAAATTCCTCCCTATGTCTCTAGTTTCTGAAATCTTGTTTATTTTGAAAATTTTATTTCGAAAAACTATGACTACAGTTTAAAATCATTGATATTTATCTTTATTTTCCCGTTTTGCTTTTTATGTACAACTTTGCCAAGGATTATCTGTTACACATTTGGGTACATTCTTGGCATTTAAGGTATACCTATACATTTCGCTTTATTTAGCTTGCCTATCTGGCCTTGAAGAATAGAAACAACTTAGAGTGTGGATTCCCTTTATCTTGAATCCCAGGAGGGAGTAGATTTTTGGCCTTGGCTATTAATACAGTGTACAAACCTGACCGATCATAATCGATTTATGTAAAGATGATTACAATTATATAACCTGTATTTCCAAAATAAATTAATCGTCTTAATTGCTCATCCTGTTTTATTTTATACTATCTCTCTATCTCTCCAGTTGGAATACAGACTGCGCTCTCCATTCCAAAGAACTTAGATTTCACTTCTATTGTCGAAACAATTATTCAGTCCCTTTCTCTGGGACCTGCTTCCATCCCTTCATCGCGGCTTATCTCCAAGCAAGCTTCCGATGACTTCATTCCAGTTGCCCGCAGTGCTGCCAGTTCCGAAATTGTAGCCTCACAACCTGTTCACACTGCCGACCCCTCGGACCACTTGGTCAGTCCTCCACCACTTCATAGACTCCAAAACGCCACTTCCAGCGAGTCGGAAACTTCCACAGCGATCGACCGCATTGCCTCAAGCAGCTGCTCCGACGCAGGACTAGTACTTTCTCTTGACTTTAGCTCAACCCAGACGAGTACAGACTCAGGCCTCTGCAGCAGCGGGAATAGCGCAACTGAGCCGCAGCGCCTTGATGACACTCTTCTTCAACAAAGCAGCCGTGATCAGCAGCATCAACTTCATCAGATGTCCCTAACCACCTTTCCGGATGAAAATGTTGACACTCTTTCCCAGCCAGTTGATTTGGACGCAACTTCTGGACATGCTAGCATGATTGGCTCGTTACTAGACAGTCAGCCTTCTTCATCTCCCATTCCGTCACTCGCTGAGCCAACTCATCTACCTTCCGCCTCTTTGTCATCCACATCCTCTTCATCTTCATCCTCTGCCTTCTCTTCTGCTGCTCATGCCTTACACTCCCTTGACAATGAAGATGGGAAACAGCCAGTGACAACTTTTAATCTGCCTGCTCAGCTCTGTTTGCCTAGTCTTGACGCCTGCAGTGTATCTCGTTGTCCCGACGCCTACCCTCATCACAGTCTATTTCTTTGTGCTTACTGTCGCCAGCCACAATCATTATCCATTTATGCCAGACGTAGCTTATTTGTGGAATCTCTGGAAGCGATCGGAGATGCTTCGGTGTAAGTTATAGATTACTATACTGGAGTAAAATGTCATATAATTTTTTAAGCGGAGCTAAATATTTTAGATTGCAAATCACTTAGCAAAACATTTCGAGGCGAAATAAATGTAATATAGCCAAAAATAAATTTATTATGTGCTGAAAAGCTAGGTTTTGAAGAATTTGATAATTTGCTGTTATTTATATTTTCATTTTAAATGAAAATTGGCATGAAAGGGCTTCGTTAATTGGCTTAGTCGGAAAATGAAGGAATCATGGAATCGAATTATGGCAGCTACTTATTATACAGGTCCACGGCGCGCCGCCCTACGGTAGAATTAGAGGGAAGGGGGATTTCACATCTTACTAGATTCAGAAACATTGCATAAGTTTGGCACACACTGAATCACTCAACGGATTATGCATGAAATTCGCAGAATCACACGATAAAGGGAGAGGTAAAATGTACATGCATTTTGTGTAAAAAAATTCGGTTTTTATTCACTATATTAAAAGAAGCTAAGTTGCAAGGCTGTTTAAATTTAATTATATTCATATTGAATAGGTTTCGAAACTACCAGTAGATATTAAATAATGGTTGTATTCATTCTAGGTCGAGTAAGGTGAAAA